TCCCTCATTTGAATTTTTATTTCCACACTAGACTACCTCCCTTCCTTACTCTGCCTTTCCTTTTCGGATCCGCTCTCGCCCTTGCTCGACTCCCCAGCGGCAGCGTGGCCATCATGTCCTTCAACCCCACCATCTTGTCACCTGTGAATGGCTCCAACGGGACCGCCGGCGGGGCCGAAGGCGGGAAGCCCCCCCCCCTCCCCACCGTCATGTTCATCTTCGGTGTGGTGGGCAACCTCATAGCCATCGTGGTGCTCTGCAAGTCACGGAAGGAGCAGAAGGAAACCACTTTCTACACGCTGGTCTGCGGGCTGGCAGTCACCGATCTCTTGGGGACCTGCCTGGTGAGTCCGGTCACTATCGCCACTTACCTGCAGAACCGCTGGCCGGGAGGACCAGCGCTCTGTGAGTACAGCTCCTTCATCCTCCTCTTCTTTGGACTCTCTGGCCTCAGCATTATCTGTGCCATGTCTATAGAGAGGTACCTGGCCATCAACCATGCCTATTTCTACAACCATTATGTAGACAGGAAACTCGCAGGACTCACACTCTTTGCCATCTACGCTTCCAACGTGCTCTTCTGTGCCCTCCCCAGCATGGGGCTCAGCAAATCTACCTTGCAGTACCCTTACACTTGGTGTTTCATAGACTGGCGAGCAAAGGAGGCCACCCATGCAGCATATTCCTACATGTATGCCGGCTTCAGCTCCTTCCTAATCATGGTCACCGTGATCTGCAACATCCTGGTATGCGTGGCCCTCATTCGCATGCACCGCCAGTTCATGCGACGCACATCCTTGGGGACAGACACCACCTCCAGCCGTTTATCTGACTTTCGCAGACGCCGGAGCTTCCGTCGGATGGCCGGAGCAGAGATCCAGATGGTTATTCTGCTCATTGCCACTTCCCTGGTGGTGGTCATCTGCTCCATTCCTCTGGTGGTGAGTAACATTTCGCAACCCTTCTTCTTTACATCAACCACACTGCTGAGTCTTTTCTCCTCCTAGTCTGTGCTTGCGGGACAGACTCCTATTTAGCTGGTGCTGCAGACTGTTACAGTAACTTAAAGGCTGTTAGCACACATGCATGGTGAGAGAAAGTCATGTTGATTTATATTTACAAAAGAAGGAAACACGCTTATCCCAAGTCCTGGGTTCCTTTGATTGGTTAAAATACAGCGCCAGAAATTCTCAATAATTTTTCCACTGTTGAACTGGAATCCAAAAGCAAAAATCTTACTCAGAGTTAAAGGCACTTTAAAGTTCACTTTCAAAATTAAGTTGTAATGAGTGAGGTTTGGGTCTGGCCTGCATTTCTGGATGTTTATTGTGTTTTAAAAATGTTCTGCTGTTGCGGAAGGGTCCTTGTGGTGTGGAAGGAGGAGAGAGCTCTCTTCACTTGGCACCAGCATTGCGCGGAGTGCTTCACACCCAAAATCTGTGTCGAGCTTCCCCTCCTGAGGGATTCACCCACTGTCTCTGGGCTGGATCCCACACTCTTACATCCCTCCAGCTGCTTCCCCACTGTGGGAGGCGTAAACTCGGTGCAACTACCCGTTGGTGTAATTCTCAGTTAAATGAGAGTCGGAGGAATCTGGCCCACATAAACCTAGAGATGGTACCGAAATGTCAGTCAGCATTACCACTAACCAATTGCTAATTTTCTGTAAATGGCTAATACAATTATTGTCATTGAATTGAATATGTGGGATGCACTTAGTTCTGTTCCTCCACCTTATCTCCAAGGAAGACAAAAAAAAAAAAACGAACCCACCAGCTGCAGGCTCAGTTCCTACTTGCCACCCACCATAATAAAACTTGGCGAACTTCTCTCCTCTTCTGGCTCAGAGACATTAAACAAATAGCTGGCTTGCCTTATTCGCCACCTTCCAAAGCACAGCATAGGGAGCCAAGCAGTGGTTGTCAGACAGAAAGTGGTTTTAGAGGGATTGGTTTAAGGGGGTTTATTGTCGGTAGGGTGATGCCTCTGTCATAGAGGGGCTACGTGTGTGAAATACAGCTGGCCAGCTGGGGATGCAAAAGAAATAGCATGTACCACGGTAAGGAAGTTCGGAGAAGTACAGGACTTGAGAGGTCAGCGAGTCCATCCCCCTGCTTCAGAGGAGCTGCAGTCGCAAGGGTCGGGCCAGTTTTGCCACATTACTAACATAAACAGGAGCCAGTGAAGTGTGGCTGTGCTGGAGCACCAGCGCCCTGGCTCTTGCCGAAGGCTGTCCCCCGTCCTTCAGCGCTGTCACTGTGCTTTGCTCTGTGGCGTGACTGAGCAGGGTTCCGTGCAGTCATTGCTTGGCATCTAAAGAAGTTGAGAGGTGCACGTGGGGTGTCCCCAGGACGTGCATATGTGTTAGATGGAGAAACTGCACACAACCTGCCCTGCAGCCCAGCCTCAGAAACTGCAGGGGTAAGCCAGCTTGGTGCTCCGGCAGGCATCAGCTCATGGGGCGGCCAAAACTCCAGCAATACCATGGCTTGACAGTACTTAGTTTGATTAATCTTGTATTGTAACAGCTACTTCACAAAACGGCAATATTGCGTGTTCGAAGGAGATGCCAGTAAATGCAGAGAATGGGTTCTGGGAATTAAATACAGTGTCGTAACGTGATACGGGGTATCAGCTGATGGATTTCAGCAGTTCCAGAAAAAAGCCAAACCTTATCCCATGGAGGAGCAGCTAGAGGAAGGCTGAGAAGTCTGTACGGAAAATGCGAAATGAAGTCGTTTGTATCCATTTGGAGCCAGGCAGTCTTTTACAGAATATTAAAAAACAAAAAAAGGGAAAAATCAAGAGGGAGGGGTTACCAGGAATGGAACTGCATTGTTGACAGTTAAAATTAATTAACCTGGGAGGGGCAAAACATTTATTATTTAAACAGTAGCTAGTGAAAAACTTAGCAGAATGTATGTGAAGGTGCAGGTGATGAAGTTGCCTAGTTCTCTCAGACCTTGATTTCACTACTTACAAAGGCACAGTGTTACTTTGGGAGTGCTCACAGGAGTTACTTTTTCCCCGCTAAAGCAGCACATCTTTTCTATATCTAACGCGAGGTAAGAGACTGTCATTTCACTTAGATGGATGACTAAGAAAAAAATGAAGCTTTCCACTAAAAAAAAAAAAATAGAAAAAAACCCAACCACATATATACACATCATCACAGCGTCCAGTGTGGTTAAATTTCTTCATTGTTATGTAGCTTTTATAAGTCATTTGCCTCCCCCTATGGGAATAAGGTATAGCCATATATACTTCTTTGTGCCATGATGTACTATAGCATATGCCGCTATATTAAGCCCTCTGGCTGCATATAGACTGTAAGATTTTGGATATGAAGTCAGAGAAGTGATACCTTTATGCTATAAATCGCTAGAAAGAGCCACTAGCAGAGACAGATAAATCACTGATACAGACATACATTGTCATGACTCGGGGGACTTTTAGGGACCCCCCACCGAGCAAGAGGTTCATCATCTAGAACAGGACAGCCTGGCGGTCATCAGGAACACGCAAGCGGTAAGGTGGTGGTGGTGGTGGTGTGATTCAGATACACAAAGCAGGCTCAGAGGGTGCTTTGTGACTGATGTTTTTTGATGAGCTGACTTCCTACTGATGATTTCAGCTGAATAAAAAGTCAAAGCAAAGCAACTTCTGAAAGAGATAGAAACCTCTAACATCTTAGAACAAACACTTTCACAGCCTAATAAAATAGCAGACACAGGCAGTCCAGCAGGCTACATTTATTAGGGTTTGACAAAAAATTTTCAAGTCTTAAAATACAGCCCTGAAATAATAAGAAAAGGCTGGTCTTGATTTAAAAAGTGGTTAAAGAACAGCAAACTGAGTCACAGAGAACAGCAGTTTTTAATAATGAGATACTCCAGCACTCAGTTTACAAGTCGGGTTGTTCAGTGTCTTAATTCATAAAATCAGCAAAATTTTACAGCGACAACAAGTGCTATAACAAAATTACGGGGGGATTGTGCAAAGGCTGAACAGATTTGACAGAACTGAACGCTGATCAAATTTATCAAGGAAAGAAAAGTTGAATAAAAAACATTAGGGAAAGGAAACTTTTCACATAACCTGGTGTGATCTCAATGTGCGGAAAGTGATGTCACAAACATGAAGAAGAATCTGACAACAGTTTAAAAATGAAATAAGGGAAATATATAAATCATGTGCTGACTCTTGTCCGCACTCCACACTGGTTATATCACTTTTTACAATAGTGTGGGTTTTTAGAAAATAGAATTGAACAGTTAAAAGTAGGGAATAAGTTATGTTAGGAAGAATTTTGTCAAGAATAGAGTTGAAATTATTATCCAGCCTTTAAAAAGAAAAAAAACCAAACCCTTTCAAGAGTAAACAGGCACACACTACTCAAAGTCTGTAATTCACTCCAGCAGTCTGTCAGATACTCTTAAGGTTTTTAAGTGCATGATCTATTTCTGATCGTGACCACTGAACATTGTTGTTAAATTACGGTGAAGTGGAAGATGTTTCAGAGTGCGTATCTGGTTGATTGCATGAAATAATCAGGAGTTTCTAACTTAATTGTTTAATTGATCTAAAAGTTTGGATTTTCTTTTGGCTTGGTTGGTTTTGACTTTTCTCTTTAAAAATCAGGGTCTGTCCGCAGCCAACAGCAAGGTGGCAGGCATGATTTTTGAGCAATGGAGTAGATACCAAGCAGACACCAAGCCCTTGAAGGGCAAAGGTTATTGGCTTGTAGAGCCGAAAAACTTGTTCCTGCTTACTACTGTATGTTTTTTTAAATTTATCCTATCAGTAATGCCGGGAGATTTTGAGGGCAGGTAGAAGCTATGGAGACAGTTACCACTGTGACAGTAATTATACAAGTCATTTTTTAGTACTTCATAGGATTGGAAATCATGATTTCCATTCGTAGTTAGTGAAAAGGAAAAGCAGCAAACAGCGCACAGGACTCTGATCCTTGCAAGTACCTATCACTTGAGTGTGAACTCACCATACCTTGGAGCTACGTGCTTTGTAACACAAACTGCTAACAAACAAACTGCTAGTACTTTTAAGATATGTTGCCTGAATTCTACAGCTACAAAGCTAACCTAAAAAAACCCTTGGTATTTGAACTGTTCTAGTTTGCTTCTTCCTTTAATTAGCATTTCAAATTGCACAAATTCAAGCATCAGGTTAGCTGACTTAGTAGTTGATTCAACTTAGAAGATGCAAGGCAATATCCTTTATCATGCTACCTGCTGTAGCAGAAGACTTCTGGCCAAAATAGGATACGTCTCTTGCTGTTCTTGTAGATGATACGTTAGTTAATGCTCACCAGTACGTAAAGAAATTATAAAACTGACATTCCAACAGAGATTAATTTTTATCTTACTGTGATTAAGATCTAATCCCAGCAATAGGTCTGAATTCATAAATGCATCTGACGTTTTGGGGGGCTTCTAATAAAAGACATGGGACCTTTCTGGGAAGTAGAAACTGTTTTGTACAGTCCGAAGTTTTCACTAAATAGGACCATTTTGTGAATCTTTAACCTAAACATGCCACATTTCTGTCCAAAGTTAATAAGGCATACAGACGTAACATAAAGCAAGCTGCCCTCTGTAATTGGCGATTGTCCTTTTCAGCCACAGAGTCAGAACTTAAGGACATTTTTGTCTTTCCAGAAAGTCTGCCAGGTAGACAGAAAAAGGTGAAATAGGTACCTCAATTTCATATGCTGCTTATCAAAAGAACAATCCCACTATTAAATCACTGACGTGTAACTATAGCTCCAAGTTTAAAAAAAAAAAAAAGTCAGGTCTCCAAAGTTGGACTGTGTACTACTTCAGCTATCTTCAAAGTGTGCCTTCTGGTTCTGTGATCTCTCATGAATTTATTAGCAAATACCCCTCCCTGTCACACCTTTAATCTTCCCGGTAGTGACTGCATTTAGTTGTATAAGCTGCTAGAAGGCCTCCACTCCCTCAGTGCTGTCCTTTGAACTCCTGACTCTCAAAAAAAAAGTCAGGTCTCCAAAGTTGGACTGTGTACTACTTCAGCTATCTTCAAAGTGTGCCTTCTGGTTCTGTGATCTCTCATGAATTTATTAGCAAATACCCCTCCCTGTCACACCTTTAATCTTCCCGGTAGTGACTGCATTTAGTTGTATAAGCTGCTAGAAGGCCTCCACTCCCTCAGTGCTGTCCTTTGAACTCCTGACTCTCAGGGCATGTACCTGTCCAATGATCCACTGGTCAAATACGTAGACCAGCATTTACACACTTCCAGGGTATATTCCCCTGCATAAGGAAGTCTCAGTACAGAAAAAGCAAAGGAGCATTTGGAAAGAAATGTTGTTAAGGTTAAATCCTGTGGGGAAATTTGACCTTTGTATATTTATACATTTGACCTCTGATAATTTTGGCAGGGGAAAAAAAATCTTGTACAAATGGTCAAGTAGGAATTTCAAGAACAGATTTGAGCCAATGCCAGGCAACATCGCATCAACTTATTTTTCAGCCTTCCAGGTCCAGGAGTCCCGACTGCTGCGTTTCGGGCTCAGTGCCGGTGTGGCTAACAGCAGCTTTACCTGCCCAAGCTGACCAAGGGAGTCACAAGACTTCTCCCTCCGTGCAGGGTTGACCAGTGGTTGCCCATTTCCAGTATTGGCTAGCCTCCTCTGGGATGCAGGTGGCAGAGCTGCTGGCAGGGTGGCTGGTGGCTCTGGGACGTGGGATGTCCATGGGACATCCGTGGGACATCCGTGCCACCTAGTGGTGCCCTCAGAAAAGGTGTCGCCGAGTCAGATGGGAGACTGGCTTCCCTGACACCCCTCCACCAGCAAATGGCTGGAGATTTTAATTTAGGGCACTTTTAAGGCATCATCAATGAATACCAGCCAAACTGTAGGTATTTAATCTATTTTGGCCTCTGGAGGGGCTGGTCTCCTCTCAGCCAGTGACACATGGAGTCATGTGGTGACAGACATCGGGTAGGAGGCTAATACAGAACAAATAATGGAAAAAATTTAAAGCAAGTAAAGCTTAATAAAAGAAAAACCCGTAAAAATAAGTTCGATATGCCTAAGAATACTCTTTGACGTACTTGAATTGCATGTTTGGCTTAACAGAAAAATAAAGTCAATAAATCAGTTGTCAGCTGTTTGGAGCAGTCCAGTCCAGTGCTGCAGTCATCTCATCATCTTGACCTATTAAAAATCTCCTAGTGGGGGGACCTTTCTTTTTTAAACTTTCTTTTTTGCAAACCATGATGCAGCAAGCAAACAGTTGAGGGTATGCAAACAATTCCAGTAAAGACAGGTGCCAGCAAAATGCATTTCTAAACTTGGAAATCAACAGCTCGGGGCTTGTTTCCAGAGTCTAGTGTACTTGGATTATAACCTGTGTTTCAGTTTATCTCTAAACAATTATTAGACCTTCACTAGAGGAACTGATTGTCCAGGTCTCCTCGGTAGGGTATCTCTTTGCAGGTAGCATAAGACTCGAGGTATACCAGGGAAGCAGGATTCAGTTCTGCATCTTTGCTCCTGAGTTCTGTCAGGAAAAAGGAACTTTTAAAAACATCAGCCAACATTTGGAGGTTCAGGGATTAATTATGAGGAGAAGGAGAGAGAAAGAGCCATTCCTTTCCTATCTATCTGCAACAAAGGTGGCCAATTTACAGCAGATGAATATCTCTGATTTTTTTTGCTATTTCCAAAAATAAGCTCATGGCTGCCCTCCAAGATGCCTGCCTTTGCCAGCCTCTTCTCTTGTCGTAGCTTGCAGTAGCAAATCTAGATCTCTGCTTTGAAATGCAGACTTCAATTTCCTGATGTAATTGTATAATTGTGTCTTCCTCTTCCCCCTTCTCCTTGGGTAGGTCCGTGTCTTTGTGAACCAGCTGTACCAGCCGGAATCAGTGAAGGATGTGCAGCAGAACCCTGACCTGCAAGCCATCCGCATTGCCTCGGTGAACCCCATTTTGGACCCATGGATCTACATCCTCCTCCGCAAGACTGTGCTCAGCAAAGCCATCGAGAAGATCAAATGCCTCTTCTGCCGCATTGGAGGGGCTCGGAGGCAGCACTCAGGGGGCAATTTCAACTGCGTGGATGGCCGTAGGACCTCCTCTGCCATGTCAAGTCAGTCGCCCTCCTTCATATCCCGTGAGCTGAGGGAGATCAGCAGCACCTCGCAAACGCTGCTCTACCCTCCCGAGTTAAGTGAAAGCAGCATCGGGGGCCGCGTGCTGCTTCCAGGCCCCAGTGCCAGCTTGGCTCAGTCTGACACCACGTCAGTAAGGACACTGCGTAGCTCGGAGACCTCGGACTCTTCACAGGGGCAGGACTCTGAGAGCGTCTTCCTGGTGAATGAAATCAGGTCTGGCAGCAGGGTCAGCTCCGCATCCAAGGGCAGCCCTCTCCAGGTCACCTTCCCCACAGAGACATTGAATTTGTCAGAAAAGTGTATATAGATAGCCGTGAAAGGCATCAACCCTGGGGATACTTACCGATATATTGGAAAAACTGGTGCAATAGATAGGTGTTCTGCCTGTTTGAGGGGAGAGGGGTTCAGCTGTGCTCCAAAGGGCTATTTTTCTCTTGCTATGTGATGGGTACACTTCTTTTAGACTACTGAGGACTGTGTGAAACAGACACTGCACTTGGGCCTTGCCATCAGAAATGGTACAAGGCAGGTCTAATGGGACTGGAAACATGAACTGCCTTGTCTTGTTCTGGGACACAGGAGAGCTATTGGGCCTCTGGAAATAAAAGGACCCATCACTTTCTTTTTTCTTTCTGTCCCTTTCCAAATTTGGTAGAACTGTGTTTTCTCTCCCCGTAGTTGCTCAGCTATCAAGAGTTTAAGCTTCTGGTACTAGAGCTGAATGTGAGGCAGCTGCTAGGAACTGGATATAGCTACTCCGAGAGCTGCCTGGGGCAGGATTTTAAAGTGTCTCACTAAAGCATGAAAATGTGAATTTTTACCGCTGTATATATATCAGGACTGAGGATATTTAAAAGTCTATTCTTCTCTATGAGAAGGTTTTTTATTAATACAAGGTATATAGAAACGATTGCCAGCCTTGTCTATGCTAGATTCACAGCTGATGAGGCAATTCTCTAGCTGAGAATACATAAGCACTTTCTGAGTGAAATGGGTATATGTGCGCTATTAAGAGAAAAAAAGAAAACACATCCTTTCAGTTAAGAATATTCCTTTTCAGTATACATACGTACTAAAAAGCCAGATTTTATTTACATGCTGAGAACGTTTCTCTGTATAACACATCCGCGCCTCTCCGAGTACTTTGGCCCGCATTCTGCACACACTTAGGCACACACTCAACATCGCCCCTCAGAGAGTCCCTCTGCTGCCAGGGAGACTCCTTACATGTAAAGTTAAGGACATATAGAAGTGCTTTCAATATCAGGGCCTAAAATTTTCAACCTCTGGTTAATAGTCTTAATATTCACTTTAGTTAAAGCATCACTGATGTAATAAAGGTATTTTTTCATAACATTTATCATTTTACTTTAAATAGTAAATAGAATTCTATGACTGTGTAATCTGATACTCCATCAAATAAATGTACAAAACCATGGAAGCAGAATCTTCATTTAAAAGTATAGGTTATATAGAAACATATCCTGGTCTTGCAGCCCTTGAAAATCATTTGTTCCTAGGGTTTTAATGGCAAACACATCACCAAAACCAGCTGTTAACCACTGACAAAAAGGAGTTTTGTGGTTTATGTTGTAAGGTTTCGATCTTGTTCCAGAAACACTGTTTATCAAAATAATTCTGTACAGATATATGGAGGATGTTTTGTCAAATACTAAGCATGTTATGCTGCTTGAAGTGTTTTCATGTGAAATGCTTTATTGTAATCTTGAGCCTTATGTTGATATGTTTAAGCAGTTGTACTGACCAAAGTAATTTTGGAGATCACAATTAAATGGAAATGTTCTGCTTGATCTCAGAAGTTTTTATGAGTCTGCCATGCAGTAGCAACTCCTCACCTTAACAAGCCTCCCATCTCGGAATGCTTTGCACTGAGCTGCTGTCAAAGCATACTTTGTTCTGTAAGTTTGCAAAACACCACAGAGCAATCGCCATCAGAAGAGGCAGCCATCTTCAAAAATGTCCCCAAGAGCACTGACACAAAGCCACAGAAACTTTTCATGCAAACAAGCAAGAATAAAAAACTATACTCAAACCTCAGGCCTGCTCCACTTTTCCACTAGTTAAGCTGGAGAACAGCTTATTACTCAAGTTCCGACTGCAGCTACAGATAAAGATCTGCCTGAATTCTTTGCAATTACACCACTTAACTATGGTCTGTTGCTCACTAGTGACCAACAAATAGAGCACACTCATTGTACTTCCCAAGGCAGGGAGCAGGACCTGGTGGAGCGGGACAGCGGGACTGCCACCCGCAGATGCACCACCTATTCCAACACTGGAGCACGCCTTTGCTGCTGGCCCGAAGCAGCACGCCAGTGTTACTGGTACTGTATGCAGTGACAGAATTAAATATCTACCGTGTACAGTATTTAAATGAGCCAGGGCTTATTATTTCTGGTTTCTGAATTTATTATTTTATTACTACTATTGTTATTTCTCATCACTACTGATGAGAAACACATGTGGTCCGGAAAGAGCTTTAAGCAAGAGCAGACTACCTTAAGCAGCTTCCCTTAGCTAAGATGTGCAGTAAGCTGGAGGTGTCCCTCCTGCCCGCAGCACCGCTGCTCTGTCAGTAGTGGACCGGACTCGCAGCACACATCATCATCAACACTAACACCCTCAGTAACGAACTCAGGGATTCCCAAACAGCCCACAGGTTACGGAGTCTCCTGGGCAACACTGGAACCACCTGCCACAACTCGATGGCAGTGCACAGAGACAGAACGGGAGCACCTTGCCTGCCTCGTTGCACACACGGACGGGTGCTCAGAAGTAGCCTGGCTGAAAGGACTGGGCAAGCGTGCCTCCGTTCAGGGTGACAGACTATTACATCTCCCTCACCTTCCCTGGCAGCCCTGCTCAGCTTTGGCACCCCCCCTCCACACTGAATTACCTTCCTCAGCCACCCTGAGCATCACAGATGTCATAAAATGCAGCTACAAGTTTGTAGAGATTAATTTGCCCCATGGAAGTTAAGAGGTTATTTTTCTGCTAGGTATTACATGTAGCTTCCATGCACTCAAAAGGGCTCCCCTTCTCACACATAATAGCTCCCTTCCACTCCTGGCCCCCAGAGATCCATACACCCCAAAAACAACCTGCCTTCCACATCCACATCTGCTTTCCACAGTCCTCTGGGTTCACAGATAATGCACTAATTTGCCATTCAAATTCACTTCTTACACCAAAACTGCATCCCCTTGACTCCATCCTGCGACCAGCAGTCCGCCTCCCTCACTTCCAGCAGCCTGTCCCGCCCACATGTCCCAGGCCACTGCTTCCCCTAACTCCTTCCTTTCAGAAGTACTGCTAGACCACCCACCCCATTACCATGCCCCAGATCCCAGCCCTAACTCAGTTTGAGCCCCTGTCGTGTGGCGTGGCTTAGAGAATCTACCCACCAGCAGCAGGATGGAAGCCGGTACCTGTAGGAGGCAGCGGTTTCTATGAAAATTTGTAGACTATTTTGAATCTCTGATCAATAATATGTTAGCATTATGATTGGGCCCAGATTTAGGGTGTAGGCTATACTGACAGAGGGCTTGGATGATAAGGGTGGGCAGTAGGATCCTGTTTTAAATCAAGCTTATCCATCTCTGCTGTCTGCAACACTAGTGCTGCCTAACCCAAACTGGTGCAATAGGCACAACGCCGAAGCACCAACAAAATCAGTGTAATCCGCTATCTTCAAATGACACCAACCACCACCCTAACCAAGCAGCTTTCTACAAACTTTTAGTCCTGCTCCTAGACAATGGCAAATCTATTCAACTTAAGGGAGATTTACTCTTCAAGCTATTAAATACTACCAGACTTTTCCAGTCCGAGGCCTTGTTCTAGACCTGCCAGCTTTACCAGATCTGGAAACCAACTGAAGTCTCTATCGCCTGCTTTCTGAACCCAAATAGTCAGCTCCTTCCCCACCTCTAATCCTTCCCCTTGACTGTTTACCATCTACAACCCCTAGAGCTGCTGGAGTTGCAGCTCCTAGAAAATCAACCTTCAAAACCAGGCCAGCACATCTGGCAGGATCCAGCAACCATCCCTGCTCAGCTCCTCCTGCTTCCAAACTAGCCCTCTCTGGAGATACCATGGGCCAAGGACTCCACTCCCTTCAAGAGCACGACGCTAACATAAAACCGACCCACAATAAACACGCAGTGTCTGCAACCTGCCAATAAACTGAGCCCACGTGTTTCTGCTTTCCTGTGCCCCAGTCCTAAGTGCACTTATAATAGTTTTATAGCTATTATATGACCTCAAAATAAATTATATATAAAAAAATATATATATATAATTAATTTATATAAAGCTATTATATGACCTCAAAAGCACCTGCCCCCAACATTAGTTTTTACCTGCTTCCCCTTGGTTTTGGAAACAAGGAAGAGGGGGCACTTACCTTGTATGGCCAAGTAAGTTTCCAATGCTACCTCTCCCATCTTGATTCCCAACACCAACAGATGTTCAAAGACAACTTTCAGGAACTCGAAGAGTAGAGGAAACTCTTACATTTGGTTTTTTCCCCTCCATTAACTACTTCAAAAATCCAATCTCTTATCAAATTAGAGTCACTGTTGTGTTATCTGATACATACTTTCACCCTCTAGTTTTGTCAGAAAGGATTTTTTCCCTCTCCGTATAAGCTATGTTTAGTTTTCTAAAGATACTTATCTCTGTCTATAAGGGTGGAATTCATCTGCCCTGTTTCAGCATTCACTGCCAGTCAGTCACCTTCAGCTTCCTTTGTAGTCAATGGAAATAATTAGGCACCTCGGGTGGCTGATTCAACTCATTCTAAGATACTTATCTAACACAAGGCATATGAATGGCCCTCTGAGGCTGTGTATTTCTTTCCACTGGATATAAAGGCATTCAAAGGAAAAAAAATTATATTTAAATGTTTAATTGTATATTTTAAATTAAGCAAAATTAATCCACCTAGCCTATAATTGTTGTTGAGACTTCCCCTTTTAAAGACATTGCAACACTTGAGCATTTCAATATATGATTCATATGGAAGGCAAACACGGAAGCTACTGCAAACAGATATCCTATTTTTGTCAACAAAGGCTTTCTCCTTTGGGTCCCTTCTTATTTGGATACCCCTGAGAATTTTAAAAGCCCTTAGCACTACCCTTTATTACACATTTTCCCTGAGATGTCTTCTTTTTTTTTTCCTGTAACACATTAACATGTTCAGCAGCGACAGAAGCAGCTGATTAAATGAGTAACATTCTAAAATAGTCAGTGGTAACTTACTGTTGTTATAACCAAAAGAATAAGCAGGCATCACTAAGCAGCAGAGAAGTCAGCATTTTATTCAAACAGATCAAAAAAATCCCATACATGCAGAACATGGCATGTTGTACAAAAACCAATGTTGAAATCATCAGGTTTTGAACTTCTGCTCAGCTTCAGTGTAACAGTGTCAGAACTCATCTGCTCTACAGTGCTCTATAGGACACTACAGTCCCCGCAACACCTAGAATTCATAACCTAATCTAATCAGAAGGAAAATGCATTTCGTACAGGGCATGGAAACCACCACCCCTCAAGCCCAGGGCAGCCATTCTGCCTGATGGTGCAGATGTGCACCCCTCCACCAGTTTGGCCCAGCAGTGCTGAAGTCAACGGGAATTTTGTGAACCATTTCAGTGGAAACAGATTCTGTGATAACGGTGACCTCTGAAAGGAGGGAGGCAGTCCTTCCTGTATGAGTAAACACGTAACACTGACGCAAGTATAGAGCGTAAAGAAATAAAAGGTGTCTTGGAGTATAGCCGAGCTCCTTCAGAATGGAAACACACCTTATGGCTTCCTGCACATTTCCTGTTCTAGCCAGAGAATGTCTCCTCTTTGAAGAAATCTGCCGAAATCCTTCTCATACTAACTCTTCCTATGGTTGATTAGATTGTATTACTATTTAAGTTGGTAGGAAAAATAAGATGAACAAATTCTTCAACGGTGACAATTTAAGCTGTCTATCAAACCATATCTTATCAAATGCCTATTCAGTAAGCATTTATGATCTATTTCTGAACTGAATGAACAAATAAAAATGTAGCATGGTGATGTTTTACATTTCTTAATATATTTTAGTTGCTGTCATTATATTTATCTTGAATATTCAGGAGATGTTAAAAAGTGTGAATTTTTTGTGTGTGTGCATGCAAGCACAGGTCTGAAAATTCATATATAGAGAAAAATACATTCAGGAGGAATCTTGCAAAAATTAATGAAAACTTAATAAGCACAACATGGCAATCAAGTTTTTGAAAGGGATATTTAATTTCTGCAAAGACTGTAAGTGTCCCCTTGAATAAGATACTCAACTGAGAGTATGATCTGAGATAAGTAATTTTTCTACAGTCCACTTTGTATTGCAAAAATCAGTATGCTTCTCGAGCAAGATTATTTCCTTTAAAAATGTGGTTTTCTGAAAATAGAAATCAGATGCGAAAAATGCAAAGATGGCCGAGTTCAAAAGGTTTCACTTGTCTACAAAAGTATTATTCAAATGTTTTTATAATGTAAAATGTTATCACGTAGAAATTACGTATTCCTGATCCTGAATTCTCCGGGAATCCCTCAGCTGACCATTTTTTCCAGTGCAGTTAGGAGGCAACCATCTCTACCACGTCTCTGAGACAATGAAGAGAGAGCAGTCTCAGCACGGAGCACATCCAAGAAACAGCCTGACTTTGTTTCTCTGAACCAACAGCTGCCTTCCCCGAAAGAAAGATGAACATTAAACAAATCCCTTATGTTGTGCCTCTAAATTAACACACTGTGAATACCCACCACCCCAATCCAAAATCCAAAAAAGATAAAAAGGAAGACTCAGTCAATGCTGTCCTGAAAAACTGGCCCGCTAAGTACATACTTCAAATGGCAGGTCATGAGAATTTGGAAAAACAAATTGACTCCCTTTATCAGATTAGCCTCACTAGGAAAGAAAAGGCTAACCGTAACAGACTTCAGACATACCTATTTCCAACTCCCACCATTTTACTTCTGGTCATGTCTGTAGCACAGCCCTCAAGATAAGGAAAGGCCAATTTCAGTCTCAGCTGAACGTTCTTTCTTCTGGTGAAACATTAAGTAATAACTAAGCATTCAGGGGCTTGTTTGGTATAGCATTTCTGTTCATCTAATCAGAAAGTGTTCAACCCGTTCACCTATGAAAGCAACATAAGGGTTTCTACTGATTTCAATTAACTACAAATCAGATGCCAGATCTATCTCACACACACACAGAAGCAAAACAATAACACAGCTCTGCTTCATAGGAAAAGTAATCTTAATGAAAATAGAGACTCCTGATAACAGAGAACAGTTCACACTTTAACTGGAAGATAAATAATGTTAACGAATAAGGACTGAAATTGATTTTTAAAAAATCCCTTTTTCTTTCACAGTTTAAAGGTTATTAATTACTGGGAGAATGCAGACACTAACTTGTAAAATTATGAAATACAGAAAGATGAAAGCAGTTGTTAGAATGTAGTTAAGCATTTTAACATTACATTTCTTCACAAGACTTTTAGAATCAACTCTCAGCTTTCTTCTCCAAAAATATGGATGGAACAACAAATCAGGTCCTTGCTTTTTCAATTTACAAAAGAAACTTCTATTCTTTAACTTTTTTGGGCTCTCCCACTGCTTAAAAAACAAAACCAAAGCAAGCCCAATACAATAAATAACACTAGTTCTTAAAGTACTGGTAACTGTAACTGGTTGCCAGTACTGGCAACCCATGAGGCTGCCCTATCGGGCTCTGATGAAAAGGGTTTCATCAGGACTTGTAGGACAATTCTCATTCTCAGTAACAGTCTCTACTGTGCCTGAAGCAGACACAATCACCACCGTTTTAGCTGCAGAAAGAGCTTTCTCTTTCTCTGCAATGGCAGCACAGACTGCCACAATTTCATCACTTTCAAAGTCATAGTCTGGGATTGATTCTTGTGCAGGGTCTTTTTCTTTTGCCAGTGCTTGCACTGCCTCAGTCTTTGTTGCCTTCTGCTGTTCATGTAGTTTTCTTGCCCAGGAAAGGTCCTCTTTCCATACTTCAGGGTTCATTGGAAAGATGTGTAGGGATACCTGGAAACTTCGGATTGCCTGTAAACAGAATAGGGAAGACACGAGTTTTAAAGCCTGCATATTTAATCATATAAATTAACAGGAAAAAACAATGATGTACATCACTGAAGCAAAGACAAAAGTGATTTTACTCCAGTCTGTCTTCGGTGGAAAAATCCTCCCTCAGCACTAAGTTCAGTAGCAGTGTTACCCCCAAACAACTGTGCATACAAGTGTCTGTAAGTACGAAGAAAACATTAAAAAATCAGATACTGGCAACAAGAGCACAAATAAGAGTTCACATGTCAAAAATAATACTGTAATTAAGAAGGTAAAAGCAAAAGTAATTTTTGTTTTGTTGGCTTTCTATCCCACTTTTTTCCTATCATCAGACATATGGGAAGGCAAAAGCAGACAGATGTGGTTTGAAGAAATACAGAAAAGGGATGACTGGGATTTGAAGTATCACTAAGAATGCTGCTTTTAAATTAGCACGTGGTCATTTCACATACAGACCTAATACTACAGTGATCCTAGCCCTTTGATAAGCAGTTTCTGTAACAGGTTTGTGGTTACAAACACACTTACCTGAACAGGCAAAAGTAGACAAATAAGCTCCCAACTTGGAGAGCTGCTCTAAGAAAGAACTCCTATAATCTTATACACCATGTAGTATTAATACAATTAAGTATAGCTGGTACTGTGTCTCCCGTCTTTCAGCTCAACTGGGAAAGTTCCACAAGTACAAATACTCAGCACAGAAGCTGTTAAATATAAAAAAAAAATGTGATCATCTAATCCAGTAGATGTGATACTCAGTAATAAGAAGACATTGCTACGATACTGAAAAAATGCTAGACAAAGAATTAAAACTGCGTGGGACTTACGCTAACAGTGAAAAGGTCAAGACTGACCTTATCTACTCAGACTTACTTGTACGTACACAGAGGCATGTGTGTATTTCACATTTATGACTGTATGGTCAGTTACGAAAATGGCCACCTGGGTGACCAAACTCTTACGTGACGATGTACAGAAGCCTTCCAGTAGGGTGGGAAAACAGTGACGATATGAATTTGGATTGTATTTGGGAAGAGTCCTAGCAACTTGCATATAAAGACTTTAATGATGTATGAACAATCACCAAATTCCATATTCTGTTGTAATTTATAAATACTTAAAGCATGCAAATTAATTTGGAAAATCACAGCTTTTCATCTGCATTGACAGAAACTGCCAATTCGTCCTTCTGCTGGCACAGATTAATATACTATCTCTGTATGACGTGAACTCAGCAGATAAGAGACACAAATGAGATTTCAGAAATGCTGATTATGCTATCAATATTATTGCTGTTATAATAAGCAGCCTTTCAGTTCCAAGAAAAAAAATAATACTACTTCATTATTGGTCCATAGCCAGCTCTGAAGCGTAGGAGCATGCTGAACTTTAAACAGAAGGAGGAGTCCAGTTTAATTCTTGCAGAACAGTGTAATTTTATTCAATTTTGCTAGCTTTTAATTGCCAGGGGTAGATGAGCTACAAGTAAACACTAAATGCTCTTTATATTTCTGTCGAAAACAAAATATAAACACCATCTGCTTTTAAGCTTTCCATGAAAGAGGCCCCCCAATTAAAACCTGTCTATATAGTTGTGTTCATGCACATTAAACAAAGCTATCAAATATAAGGTAACATTTAATAAACTTAGAAGATGCCTTAATGATTCATACAATAGAGCATGAAACAATCATCTTTGTAAATCTATTAGAAAAAAGATAGTTTAAATTTTTATAAATTAATAATAAAATAATAAATTTTAAGTTCTGCAAAAGATCAGAGGGATTCATTTTAAAGCAGCACTGTAATACTAAAAAATACAGAATTGTCATCCACAAAAAAATGTTATGTTGCCACTGCTTCCACACCCATTAATTTCTATTAAGACAGAAGAAAAGAAAATAAAAGTGCTACTTTTAATTCTCCCACATCAGGAGATGTAAATCTCTCTCTCCATCTGCCTGTCTGGCATTATAGGAAAATGTGGTGGCACTAGATAAACTTGGTATTTCTAGACGTGGGGCAGCTGTTGTCTTAGAGACCCTGCATGTAAAGACTATGGGATTTTGAAGCAGTACGTATTCAGATATTTGCTTTTGCTTCTGTACAGAAGACTACTATAAAATCTACTGCAAGATATTCCAGCTTGCTAAATTACAATATATAAAGAATTTAGTTTTTTTTAAAATATTCTGTATTTCATCTCACTATAGGGCATTCTGTAGCAAACAACCTTTCATTTGTCCCATGAGCAGAATCTCTTCTGCTGGTTTGCAGAGCCCTTAAGTGTGAAGGGCATATTTGATCAGACTATACTTTTTGTAACATGTTTTTGTAACACATGGGCCTAGTAATTGCCACTACAGAGTGACCTCCTAAAAACAGTAAAGGGGCATTTTCAGAGGTTATACAGTCCACATCGACCCCCCAAAGCTTGTATTAGGCCTTTATGTTACATCTGAGAGACATCATCTGAGCTATTTCAAAGGATGCACATGAGTGAAGATATGTATACATCTATAAGTATTCTTTTTCTGTGTTTAATGAGCCTTAAATAATAGATTTATTTTTTTTTTTAACAGCGTCCAACATAATACCTGGGGGGTACTGGTGGACGAAAAGCTGGACATGAGCCGGCAATGTGTGCTGGAAGCCCAGAAGGCCAACCCTACCCTGGGCTGCATCAGGAGAAGCGTGGCCAGCAGGTCGAGGAAGATGATTGTGCCCCTCTGCTCTGCGCTGGCGAGACCCCCCCTGCAGTGCTGCATCCAGCTCTGGAGCCCTCAGCACAAGAAGGACATGGACCTGTTGGAGCGGGTCCAGAGGAGGGCCACAAAAATGATCCGAGGGCTGGAGCACCTCTCCTGTGAGGACAGGCTGAGAGAGTAGGGCTTGTTCAGCCTGGAGAAGAGAAGGCTGCAGGGAGACCTGATTGTGGCCTTTCAGTACTTAAAGGGAGCCTACAGGAAAGGTGGGGAAAATCTTTTTAGTAGGGACAGATGTGACAGGACAAGGGGTAATGGTTTTAAACTGAAGTAGGGTAGGTTTAGACTGGCTATGAGGAAGAAATTCTTTACAATGAGGGTAGTGAAACACAGGAACGGATTGCCCAGAGAGGTAGTGGAGGCCCCATCCCTGGAAACATTTAAGACAGCAGGTCCAGGGAGGTTATCCTCCCCCTCTACTCTGCCCTAGTGAGACCCCACCTGGAGTACTGTGTCCAGTTCTGGGCTCCCCAGTTCAAGAAAGATGAGGAACTCCTAGAAAGAGTTCAGAGGAGAGCAACTAGGATGATAAAGGGATTGGAGCATCTCCCCTATGAGGAAAGGCTGAGACAGTTGGGCTTGTTCAGCCTGAAGAAGAGAAGACTAAGAGGGGACCTCATCAACACATACAAATATCTTAAGGGTGGGTGTCACGAGGATGGAGCCAGACTCTTTGCAGTGGTGTCCAGCGGCAGGACAAGGGGCAATGGCCACAAACTGAAACATAAGAGGTTTCAGTTGAATATGAGGAAGAACTTCTTTACTTGGAGGGTGACAGAGCACTGGAACAGGCTGCCCAGGGGGGCTGTGGAGTCTCCTTCTCTGGAGATATTCAAAGCCCGCCTGGACGATGTCCTGTGCAACCTGCTCTGGGGGAACCTGCTTTAGCAGGAGGGTTGGACTGGATGATCTCCCGAGGTCCCTTCCAACCCCTGCCATTTTGTGATTCTGTGAAGACCAGATTGGATGGGGCTCTGAGCAACATGATCTAGTTAGCGGTGTCCCTGCTCACTGCAGGGGGTTTGGATGAGATGACCTCTAAGATCCCTCTGTCATGTATTTTATTTTCAAAAGAAATGCCTTTTATCAAATCCTGATAAAGAAAACTACCATTTAAAGTGTGACACAAAAGCTGTAAATGGTGTAAAAAAAATTCTAGGCCAAAATTATAACACAAATAGCAATTATTAAAGTTGCATTGCCTCTTTTTCTTTTCATTTATGCACATAAGAAAAATAAGTATCAACTATATTAATACACTGAGATAAAGTTAAATATTCCATCACTGTAAAATAATCCACACATTCTGTTGTGCTTAGAAGGAAGATTACCACAGCAGTGTGATTAAATACTTTAATCTCATATAAACCTAAAACATAAATAAATAAGTCTGAATTATCTATCCCCCTCAATTGATAGGAATGCAATCTGAAGCACAGACTTGACTGCTTTTCAGTGGCAAATGCAACCACCAGTTTCTTTTTGATTACCAAAATCTTTACGTTTCTACACACTTACCTTAGTAAAATTTTGAAAAAGTCTCCCAAATTCAGAATTAGTTATGTTAATTAGCTGGATTCCAATAAATGCAGTAATTCCTCTTTGCTAGTACATAACTCCCATTGTTATGTAAAACTACTTCTTTCAAGGGAAATAGAATAAAAGGGCTGATCTGAGGATTCATATTGTCAAGGCTTGATTCCTTTTAAAAAATATAGTGTCACACTTAAAAACTGCTAAACCATTTCTTAGTAGCAATAGAGCAAACCACATACTTCATATTTACACATCTGCCCAGTTACCTTTGTAATCTTCAGTACACCAGATTTGACATGGAGACCCTAAGCCCACAATGGGGTAAGCTCAAGTCACAGAATCACAGAATGGTTGAGGTTGGCCAGGACCTTCCAAGGTCATTTGGGCCAACCCCCTGCTCCAACAGGGCCGCCTGGAGCTGGTTGCCCATGACCACATCCAGATGGCTTATGAACTTCTCCAAGGTGGGAGACTCAGTCACTTTCAGTTGGTTTTTTTGTTTGGTTGGTTTTTTCCTTAAACGCTGCTTTCATTTTGGTTTTTTTGTTTCCTTGTTTAATGAATTTACAGGGCTCATTCTGTCTCATGGGAAGAAATGCACTAATGAAGATATCAGTGTAAAATTGTTACTGCTCAAGCTGGCATCACCAATACAGTAAATATCATTCGTAAAAACAATCATTTACAATTAAATGAGAGAAATATTGCAGGCCTGACTACATTTCTACAGTTCCTACGTTCACATTACAAAGCTTACTCGGGTTTGCTCTTGCAAATTGATTTGTAAAATTTCTGCCTTTACAGAAATAAAGTTCTGCCTGCTCACAATTAATTATTACCATTGAATTACCCTACTTAGTAAATTCACAAAAAAGAGCAAAACACTTTTTTAAAAGCTAAATAAAAAGGGGCTAATTTATATCACTCTTTCACTCACAAGTTTGACAAAACAAAGCCAAAACAAAACTTTGTTTGCAAGAAATTAATACTTGTTATGCAGTTCGTAATATAAATTTGATGTGTTTGAAAGCTTTATTTTAAATGCAGGAAACTTGAAATTAAAATATAGTAAATTGCTTTTTCCTAAGAAAAAGAGCATCGTTCATTGTGAAGTAACAAAAATTAGTTACAAGAAACCATCTGACAGGATGCTCGTGGGGAAGCATAGGTGGGGAAGCGATGATACAAAGAAACAGAAGAATCCACTCTTGAGAAGGGTAGTAATTCCCAAATCTCCAATAGTACTAAAAAGCCCTGACATTTATGCTTTATTACCCTTCATTAATATAATGCAGTGAAAAATTAGAAGATCATGGTAATGAAAGGCTAATGGGAAAAGGATAATTATGACTTAGATCACCTGGTCAAGAAGCCTCCACAGGTTCAATAATTATTAAATCATTTAACCTTTTAAGACTCCTCTAGTCTTAACCTTTTAAGATTCCTTTAAAATTGCTTGGTTCAAAAATAAATAGTGCATATTATGTGCATTTTAGAGTACTCCCTGAGTTCTTCTTTGTATGTGAGAACATATTTATCAGAAGGCAGTTCAATATGTCTTAAAGACAGAAAGTCAAAAAAGTAGAAACACTGGAGTGCCAAAAAATAAAGCACTGGAGACACCAATAGGAGCTTACCCGCCTCTGGGCTCCCCTCTCAAACACAGACAGACAAAAACATTCAGAGGGCAAACTACCTGGTGGTAACTCCTCCTCCCTCTCTCTTCACAGACAGTAAGGTCAATATAAAGAATTACAGGAGCACCTATAGTAGTGTTCTGTTTCAGATGAATAATGTGCTTTGATGTAAATCTCTCATTGTTCCCACTTAAAACGCTTTGGTTTGCACCATGGAATAGTCTCAGACTACATAAACTAGACTCCTTTCTGATTAAGCTCAACAATGCACACCTGAAATGCTCCAAACAACAAAGCCACTCTGAAGTAAAACAAAATTAATATAATGTGGACACTGGGTCCTCAGCACTATTAACTCAACATAGCCACTCCTATTGGTGTGATGTGACTTGCCAATGTAGATGAAGCTTATAGCATCTGGTGAGCAGACCTGGAGGTACAAACATTATTGGTATATCAATATGTATAATGCACATCATAGTAACTATAGCATTTTTTAAAGAATAAGTAGCATCAGTTACCTAGGATTCTTGCAGGAAACAAAACTTTGAATTTCCTGAGACTAATGCCTTTAAGACCCTCAGGCATAACTTACAGCAACAATTTCAGGCACTTAAAAGGAAAAAAAAATATTTATAGTGTAGATCCAGACAGGACAGATCACCTACTCTTACCTTCTACACCACAAAAGCCGTAGAATGTCACCAGTTATGTGACGTGATGCAGATATGCATGGATTTTTATTAAATATTTCATATTATGATACTGCAACACCATAAGGTAGCACACTACACAGCTGCAGCACACAGCTTTTGTCTTACATTGTTCTCATCATTTGGGGTTTTTTGGGTTTGTATTTTTTTTTTAATACTGCTCCTTACTACATCTTAAAAAGAAAATGGTTTTGCATGATCTGTTAGCCTCTCAAAAAAAAAATCGTAACTTTTTTTATTCTTTTTTTTTGGTCCAAACATTGTAACTTTGCAAAAACACCATTGTTAATTTAAACAACAAAATTATTTGTATCAAACCAGCACACAGCTACTTCTATTAGAAATAAAATAAAACCAGTACCTCTTTTTATCTGAGAGCTCACAGTGAATTATTTTTCTAACATACTTCTGTGAATGTTTCTGAATTAAAAAGTTCACTATGTTTCCACACTAACTAGCAGAAAACTATTACACTACGTATGTTACATCGTTTACAGATGTCTAGCCTGTAGGCAGAGGGTGATCCGATGTAGGGGAAGAGTCTCCCTTTGCATCGCATCTCCCTGCATCATGTAGCCAGGACAGCACCATGGCATGCAGCTGCAGCTAGAGAAAAGATGCGCTCAAGCTAATGCAGAGCATCCCAGCCTTTTTGCTGTCTTATTAAGAAAAGAACCAACCTCAGCCACCATTTGCGGTCAAGGAGCCAGAGGAAAGGATGAATGAGCATGCATGATTTGCTGCACATGACGCAGGAGAGTAGGAGACAGGGAAAACAAGGTATTAGATTTTTATTAGCAGGCATGTATAAAACTGAGCCTGAATATCAACAGGGACTTCACACTAACTTCTTCTTTAAACTATGGTGAGCTGCACTGTAGCAATAGAGTACCAAGAATGTAGTCTGTGCAGTTGTGTCAACATAATTAATCTATTGCATAAAGCCACCACATAAATATAGTATACAACACAAAAGGATTTGAGCTAGGCAGGTCTTCCACAAGCCCAGCAACAAAACCACACAGGAAGCATTTGCGAAAAAAAAAGAACAAAGTAGAGGGAATACTGGAGATAAATAACAACAATATTTTTCCTTGCCTACTTTCAGGTTACATAAGGATATTTGGCTACCTTGGTATTTCTGTACTTTCATTCTCTCTCACACAATTCAGAGGATGTGGTTTACAAGTTCAGCATAATAACGTTGTCCATTTTCCTACCAGTGCTATCTCTCCTAATCCGAGCTGGGCACGTCCCAAAGTCTGCCAGGCATCCCAGGAACGTGGGTTTCTCTGGACAGCCATTTCTGCTGCATGCACCGCTGGGAACATTTCATGTAAAGACATCAGGACCTATGACAGAAAAAGACAAATAAGAGGAATAAGAATAAGCAAAATTGGAAACATTTAAGTTTTCTGGCATTTCCCAGGTAACCACCATTGTTTCAATAACTAAGGACAAGTTCATCTCACCTGGCTTTTTCTAGTTTAAAAGTTAGTTGTCTAATCTCAGATAGTCACCCAGACTCATTCTATAGCCCACGGAGAGAAACAGGCACGCTAGAGACGATTCATCTGAACTATTTAAGCAACTCTATTAGAAGTAGATTAATTGCTTCTGAAGGCGTCCCTCCCTCTGCCTCCCTCCCTAACAACCCCATGCTCTGTAAAAGCATAACAGAATACACTGAAGGACAAACACACTGAGAATTAAACACAATAAATAAGTATTGTTGAAAAACTCCTGGGCTGTATTTTTTCTTTTTGATAGAAGACTGGAATCTACCAAATACAGTTGAAGTACACATGATATAATTATAGAAACAATCTCTGTAATTCAGCATGGAAACAGCCCTTAACAATGACTGTATTTGGAGAGTAAGCATTCTGCAACAGCAAAGCCTAACTTAGACATGAAGTCACCTACATTAAAAAAAAAAAGTGGGTTCCAAATGTGGAATTCTCTTTTACTCAGCAGTACAGGTTAGTGTCAGCCTGTTACCATAGTATTCTACTCCTTGCATTGAATCTCCGTAACTAAGCCTATAAATCATAGTTAACAATACATAACATGGCTCAAAGTTTGCTGTATTTTTCCAAGACCACCATAAGATTGGCACATTACCTGAAGACCTGCATCACTCTGAGATCATGATTTCAGACAGCCACATGCCATGGTGATAGATACCAGTATAAGAAACAAATGACAACTGCATTCCTACAGTATGATGAGAATGTCAACCACAAGAGTAAGACTCATGTGTGGGCAACCACTTTCATCCCAACTGACCCACAAGCATGATGAATAATATTAGAACATATTAGGACTATTGCTGAAATGCAAAAAGCATTTATTCAACCTTACTGTTCTATGGTGTATCAAATAGATAAATATGAGTGTGGAGTAGAGGAGGATTCAAATGCAATAACCTTGAGTATTTACTTTCATTAACGTAAAGTACTTGCACAGCACTGGGGTGAGTACAGTAAAAAACCAAAAGCTTTACTACAGACAGTAATCCTGTACCCAAGAAACACTGGAAGCATAGCTTCCAGTAAACCATTTGTATCCACACTCCTACTGTTTTAGTAAAACTGATTTTTTCTAAAGACTAGTCCTATGGCTTCTCTTTAATTCAATTTAATAAGCTGTACACTGGAATTTAGAAGTACCTAAAAATCTTTAAAAAACAACCCACAGCTGTATGTCATTTTCCCTTTTTTCCTCAACAGTTCTCAATGACTGTGCTTTGTAAGCAAAGTTTGTAATGAATACTATGTATTTTTCCAAAACTTTCAGTTCAACTGCATTTTTGCATGTGGTTTCTCTTATCTGCAGCAGATCCATTAAATTAATCAAACTGTTACTACTGCATAGGTGTACATCATACCAAGATTAAGTGATTCTGTACCCATCAGCTACCTTTTACATTAATCTCTTAATGAGTTTGCTTCTTGTAAGAGAAAAGAAATCCAAGTATACACTCACCTGAACAGTTTTATGCACCCTGAGTATTCAGTGTTTCCTACCAGCACTTTCTACTGCAACACAATTCCAAAACATCTACGTAAGTACTTAGGAAATCTTTTGCAGTTCTTAATGAATTTTATTGCTTTGTTTACTGAATTGTGACCTCACTAATAAAAGACAATTATTCCACTTCCATCTATTTATGACTTGTGTCTACTACTTTAGAAATGCTCTTCCAGATCATGGTGGTAATTACTGTGCTCCTAGTAACTATGACATCAGTTTCTCAAGGTACATTCAGACAAATACAGATTTGAATGTATATGCTACTGCTACTTGAAAACTGAACCAGCAAACACTCAGTTATTCTACATCGGGGAAGCCATGCTGAGAAAGGAATAAAAAACCTCACTAACATAAAGTTTTCTTCTGCACAGACTTGACAAGAGGTGCTCAGTCCTTTACTGGTGCAGGCCATGTGGACGAGACAAAGCCAGACAGGAGCCACGTGTGCTGCAGCCCCCACTGCCGCACAACGCGCCTGTCACATACTCAACATGCAGCCATGCCAACCACCAAATCTATGTGTATATACGTCATACACCGGTAACACACCATCTAGTGTGGTCTCCGGTTCACTGATATGTTAAGTACCTAAAGGGTTATTGTCACTCCTTACGCATGTGCCCCTTAGACAGGGTGTATCCAAAAAGGGTGAAGCCAGGTAGTAGATCATGGGAATTACACTGGTGGCCTTTCTCAAAACATAAGATTTCTCATCCTGAACTAGCTTATTAATGTATCAGTCTAACAAAAACCCACCATCATCCTTCTAATACCATATATAGCATTTCATGTACAACATATACTTCAGTATTTATTCATACTTGAATAATATCATAGTATAATCTTGAGTTCCGCATGACAATACAGATGTGAGGCTTATTTTCAAGGATGCAGCCACTCTGAAATACTACTTTAATGGCATTTCAGATCTTCTTGCATAACTCATCACTAGTTTTAAAAATCCACAGAACTGAACTCCTTGCCTCCTTCCCAAATCATCTTACATTCTTTTATCCGTAGTGCTGTCATTACCATGAAAACATCATTTTTAATTTTCTCTCCCTTCACATAAATTTAGTCTACATTTATGCCTTGTATTACTATGCAAGGTTGTTATCAGCAAAATCTTTTCATTGTCTGGATTACATTCCCTTTCTTGCTGATTTCCTTGATCCCTACATATCACACCATAATGGACCAAAGTCTTTTTCACTTAATAAAAAATTAGACAGTCAATGAATGTCTTGCTCAAAGTCTTGGCCCCACTTTCTACCATATACAACTTGATTTTCTCCACTTGTTTTAACAATCTGTATTATGTTTCCTTTTATTTACCTCTTTTTGAGTAAGTTACTCTTACTTTATTTGCTCCAACATGGCATCAGCATAATGGCCTATTGTTCTACTTCTTACAAAGATGCCCCCAGGTCTTCTTTCATTTGAGCCCATATGCTTGAAATACTTGAGCTGATCAGAAATCTATTATCTTTTCATTCAGATGTGTGACTGAAACATGAATCTGGAAGCCAGTAGAAGTCCCTACACCCAAACTGAGCCTAATGCTTGTTGCTACTCTTAGCTTTGCTCAGTTTTATCTCACTGACACATAAGTATGTTTACACTTAAGACATTTAACCTCAGTAACTGTTTTGAAATAGTTATTCTGTAGAAAATAGAATAAATAGAGCATGCCCCCTAGGGCTCCCTCCAAAATAAGCATTTTCTTTGATTTGGTTGAATTCCTTTCAAAAGAGTAAAGTGAAATCCTCTGTGTGGCGAGTGCTTCTTGTTGGGAGCTCTGTTGTACTTAATAAAACAAACTCTCAATCTTTTAATCCTTATGGACTGCTTCAGTGCAATTGAGTCTAAACTGCAAGCCATCATCAGCATTGATACAGACCTGCATACAATTACATTACTTCACCAGTAATTTTGTGCAATCTCTTTTGATTCAAGTCACGTTCACACCAATTTCAATGTGGGTTTGGTGGTTTTTTTTGACAGCAGAGATAATTGTCACCTTCTGCTAGTTACTTCCTGCAAAACATTCAGATCACTAGTAAAAACAGGAACAAGCAAGCATTAGTCTAAACAGGTCACAAACCATTATAATAGAGAACTCAGATGTAACATTTCTTTTTTGAACAGATTAAACTTCTTAGAGAAACTAATTCAGTTGCATTAGGGTATTTTTCAACAACCTGACAAATACCATGATGCTTCCCAGAGGAGCTATGTATCACTGAAGGCACCATTTAAATCCCTCTTCCTCAATGTTTAGCATCAATTTAGAATCTTTAGATAGCCGTGCATTCAGAAAAATGCGCAAATATAAGCTTGTCATTTGAGAGTATGAAGATACTAAGCTTTTACTTATCAAAAACATGCTGGGGAAAAACTTCCTAAGGGACAATCCTACCAGCAAAATAAGGCTGTAATCTGTTTTTAAGCAAGGTATGACAAAAAAAGGACTATTTTGCCAAAATCACCTACAGTAAAGATGAGGATGTGTGTGTTTGCTTACCAATATCCTTTTAAGAGCTGACACACTAAGATTCTGTTCCTTTCCTGTTTCTCTCTAATTTCTCAGATGAATTTTCTTTTGAAAACATCATTAGCAGGATAGCACTCAAGATTCGCAGTTAAGTAATCTCATTCCATACTTGATTTATTTTCCAATTATAGTGATAACATTTAATTAGAAAACATTCTTTTATCAAACAATTAGAAAAAACCTTACAAACCAGAAAAACATCTCAAGACTCTCATGTATATATATATTAAAAGTTACTAGAGGGACACGTCTTATAAAGATGTTCAGTAGGTGGATATTCAGAACTTACTTTTTTCCCAACAACATAGACTTATCATTATGATATGCATTAAAACAAAGAACACCCATGTCACTATAATGATTTTACAATGATTTAGTTTAATAGATGTAGCTTTTAAAAAAAAAAAAAAAAAGAGACAGATTAGAAGAACTCAGTGGCAAAAAAAACATAGCAACTGTCAAAGGGAGACTGACCAAATATTAAAAATCCAGGCAGCAGAATGACCCATCCCGTCCTACCCACAATATTTTGGAAGTGTTATGAATCTGAGTAAGTCCTGGTTTTAGATGAGCTCACTGGCTTGAAGTTGAATCACTATATATAGACACATTCCAAGTCCAGTGAAACTGACCCAATTCCTTCTTCCATCCAGAAACCCATTTCAAAACACTGATGAATAAAATTCTTCCTACCCATAAGCAGTTTACACTTATCCATGCTGTAAAGCAATTACCATTGCAGCACACAGCAATGCTTTTTGC